GCCCCCCATCTTATCTCTTTTCAGGATAACATAAATGAAAGGAGAATAAACATAAATGAGCACTTTCTAAACTCAATAAATCTTCTTGAGATAGCAAACCAAATTAATTCCAAGCTTTGACCAAATATCTGGGAACATTACGTACATATCTACACTCTCAAAGTTTATCTTCTGATGGATGTACCATCTTCTTAAATTTGCTCCCGATGTTTCCGCTACCAAAATAAATGAAGAGAAATTTAAGTGAAACAAACAGCAAAAAAAATTTGTCAAAAAAGGAGAAAACTTTTGATTGCTGAGGTAAGAAGAAATCCTAAAATTTTCCCTGAAATAGCAGACAAATGAACTTGTACTTTTGTCCATGTAGATATGGCTTTCCAATAAATGAAGCAAAAAAAGGAAAGTTTCAGAGTTTCCCCAATTCCTTTTCTTTCTTTGTTTCTTCCCTCATGTTTATCATCAACCACAAAAAATTCAGAAACAACTAAAAGCACCAACTGATTTCCTTTCATGTTCATCAAATGTTTTAAAAAACCAAATACCAAAAGAATCTACTTCCAAATTTTCTAGGAATCAAGAAATGCATACCATTAATCTACCAGTCACATGGCAATAGATATTTCCTTGCCGGACTTTCTGGTAAGGTCAGGGCAGGAGCACAAGCATAATCAACGCCCAGATGAATGTTGTAACGATCATTTTAACAAAACAGGTGACGATCCTCACACAAGATATCAGTGTCGATATCCCTCCATCATCATCAACATAAACATCTTTCAGAGGCCTCTGCACTGCTACTTCCTTCCCTGAATTTTTCCTAGTTTCCCTTACATTTGGGACAGAATTTGTATGGAGGAAGCTCTCTAATCTTCTATTTCTTGGAAAGAACTACCTCCACTATTCTCCATCAGTTGCTGGTAAAAATCTGGCAGGCATGAGTGAAGCCAATGTGTTAAAAAGAGATTAACATGAAGAAAACAATAACTGAACAACTTGTAAGAGAAATTGACTGATTAATAAGCAAGTTGCTTGGTTGCTTGAAAGAGAAAGGAATTGAAACCTTGTAAATTAATATCTCTTATTTAGAATAAATTCTGGGGGAAAGCTTTGATTTAAATAATAATCCCAGAAACTAACTACAGATTTAGAGAATCAGTGAAATTCTTCAAATTTTAGATTCCCTCCCTTTCCTGTAGTATTCCCAACCAAACAAGGGGAATCGTAGCTAAGTCCTAGTCAAACAGCAAAGCAGAAGCTAAAAAAAGCATAGTTGAACTGTGAAACCACACTAAAACTGGTTAAAAAGAGAAAAGATCAAAACCTGAGATAAAAAAGGAGAAAACCCAATAATTTTCCCTTTGGTTACCGGGCAACCGTATAACTTAGACAACCAAAATAGAAAAACAACAATAATCTCATATTTTTGCCTTGAGTTCCCAGAAAACAAACAAAAGGAAGCACCTTCAATCCAAGCAAGCCAAACCCAAGTATATCTAGATAGAATTGAAAAGAAACA